TATTATTATTATTATTATTATTATTATTATTATTATTATTATTTCAAAACTAGTTACTGTTGTGACTTACAGAATTTGATTGTGACAAATTATATGTCAGATCTGGAACAAATAGAGTTTGATAAAAATATTAGAAAAAACTTTTCAGAAACAGTCTGTAACTTGGAGGCAGGGCTTACAATGATTGAAATGATATTAAAGCATTTGAAATAAATACATAAATACATATTTTACATGCAAAAGCTCCCCAGGTCAATCCTCATGACAATCAGGCATGCGCTACTCAAGTCCTGAATGGTCTGTGGGTTTCATGTAGAGATACACTTGGCTGCACTAGAAGCAGCATTAATGTTTCAGTTTGAATAAAGACTGTTCAGAACACTAAATGTAAAGACAATTTTTGGCTCAGACTAGATAGACACTTACCTAGAAAATAACACTTTTAAAAGAAGGATGAATGTATCTTACCTGATAAAGCCCAACCAAAAAACCTAGAGTGGTTGCCACTGTGATTGCATAACAACCTTTGTCACAGACCACTGTCCCATTCATCGTGGCATTGGCCAAAAAATCTGTGTCAGAGTCCAGTTCGTATCCTGCTAGCCTAAGTTGCCGGTTTACTGATTCCCCAATCATCAGGCACAGGACCCCAAAAGAACCGACACAATTATGGCGTGAGGTAGCCATGGCAAAGTAAATAATGGCACAGAAGAAGTTGGTGTAGATCCCATAAATGGGATCCTGGCTTGCAAGGATGGCATAGGAGATTGATTGAGGGATGGCAACGACTCCTACCAACAAGCCTGAGATGATGTCCCCCAGCAGTTGTTCTTTGATCTTGTAACGAGGAAGCCATTCAACTACTGGGAAGAGCTGAAGGAAGAAGGTGACAATACTCTGTTGGCTGAAGTTGCAGTTCTCTTTGGCTTTTGTGAGAAGCTTCTTGATGCTGAAGCCTGATGTTTCGTATTCTTCTAGTTTGACAGGTACGTAGGAAGATGACTGTGAAGAAGACAAGCTGGGTGTATCATTGTTGTGCTCAGACTTTTGAGTAATAGTGCCACCCTCCATGGCTCCAAAGTAGCTAAAAAGAGGTTGCACAGATATTTTTAAAGCAGACTGCATGACTTAAGCACAGGGACAGTTGAATATTAATCTGATGATGCATTGCTGTATTGTTATAACAAAAGCTATATTGTTATATCTGCCTCACAATAAAAAAGAAACTGCTGAACCATAAAAAAAAAAAACTCAGCACTAAAATGTGGAACATAAAAGTAGCTTCTACATAATAGCTTAAATCTATTCATTATGCAAGTTGGTTGACACAGGTTGGTAACCTATAGTCACAGCGCCCTCAGAAGGCATATGTCAAACTCCCAAATTATTATTTTTTTATTTTTCCTTTTCAAAAATGGTTTAAATCTCAAAAGATCACCAAATTTCATGAGCTGTTGTTCTTAGCAGGATTTCAAGTGAAAACTCCACTGTCTCTTAAAAGCGTAAGAATGACACTGCTGAAACCTGGCTAGCTTTAGCAAAGTTGAGATTTAGACCATTTAATTGTAATGACTTATTATTATCATCATCATCATCATTATTGTTTGGGAGCACCTGAGCCATTGTGCAAGATTAAAAAGTTTGATAACCTTTCTCCTAAATCCTAAATCTTTTAAAGCATTTCGCAATAGCATAAAACAAAAACATTCAGAATGTTTAAATATAAGTAGGTTCAGTTTGTATCAGTCCAAGTGGCTCCAGTAGGATAGGAACCAGGCTTTTTATCACAGTCCAAATCTGTCCTTCTGCAAGATCATTTAGCAAACCATTTAGGTGGCATGTGACTGTTTACCCCAATTGCATTCAATTTCCTTTTATTGCCACTCAAAATGGGGAACCAAGATCTTTTTTAAAAAAGGGTAGTATTTACTAAGATAGCCAGGTTGGTGTAGTGCTTAAGGCACCACGCTAGGACCTGGAAAAACATGAGTTCTAGTCCTGCCACAGCAGGGCCAGCTCTGGGCTAAGGCCAAGTGGGCACCAGCCTAGGGGTGCCAAATTTTAGGGGGCGCCAAAATTGAAAAGACTACTGAAAAACATAATAAAAAAGTGAAAAGCAGTAACACTGCGCTCCGTGAGCCAGCACGTCTGCTTAAGGGATAAATATAATTTTGCAAAATCATTATGACAACAGTGGGTGCTGATGTAATTAAAATTACGGTGTAAATAGGGTGAAAATGTCCGAGAAAAGAAAAAAAATTGTCCAGGGCTGAAAATGATAAGTGTAGAAGAAGAAGAGGAGGAGGAGGAGGAGGAGGAGGAGGAGGAGGACTTTTTGAAATTCCTAACAAGATTGGAAGATGAGCCAAACCATAGGGAGTGCCAGAATGTGACTTTGCCTAGGGCACCAAAATCTCTAGACCTGGCCATGCACCTTAGGCATAAAGCCAGCTGGGTGACCTTGGGCTAGTCGATCTCCCTCGGGCCTAAGAAGAAGACAGTGGGAAACCATTTCCAAAAAATCTTGCCAAGGAAACTATTTTTCTAGGGACTATTACTAAATCACTGATCATATGACAGCATGTGTTTATTAAACATTTGCCTTGTTTTTTGTGCATATTAGGAGATCTTAAATTATGAGTAAATAATATATGTCTCTGTGTGTAATACACACACACACACGCAAATATTACTGTGGTAGTAGTAATAAAATTGGAAGGTGCAGAATCCTGCAGAAAAACCAGTAGAGACCTCTGGTCCTTCAGTAAAAGAATCCCATGTAAAATTCTAATAAAGAACCTTTCATACTAAAAAGTCTAATAAGTAGTCATAAAAACAATGTGCTCAGTAGTTACATACTGCTTTTATGTTACATACTGCTTCTATGGAATGTAGCCTCTTGTTACCTCTTTCTTTTCTCCTTGTGATGAAAAACAAAATCCATAAATTCCATAACTTACAGAATTTGGTCTAGAAAAAAACTGCTGTTTTTCCTTTGGCAACGTCCATACCTTCCAGGAAGCCAGAAATGGGCACATGTATCTTCTAGACTGGTGCTTCTCAAGCTTGGCCACTTTAAGATATGTGGACTTCAACTCCCAGAATTCTGGCAAGTGGCCAAGCTTGAGAAACACTGTTCTAGACCCTAACACTGATTTGTTTCACTTCTGCTTTTCAGTTTCCTGAATTTAGCTTGCTTTCTGGAAAATGTTGTAGGATTATTTGAATGGTGTTTGAAAATAGATGAATCTCTTTCTCTGTGTATTTTTTTCTCTGTGTATTTTTTTTTTCATTTTAAAACAAATCAGTATATGAATACATATATACAGAAAGAAAATATAGAAAGTATAGAATTTTTAAAAGCACAGTTGTGGCAGGAAGAATTACATGACTAGATCATATTCTGAGATGTGCATAAACTTCTATTGAATGAACTTAGTATTATCTGAGTTCAGTTCTCTAACAAAGTAACTCATAAGCAATGCTAATTCCTATTTTTCCTATACAGTTTAATTGTCCGTTGGGGAGCAATGCTTATTATAGCCATTAATTTGTAAACAGAATTAATATGTTTACAATTTTCTTTTAAAGACCATATGAGAATAATCGTAGGATCCATTCATAATCAGTAACCTATTGCCTGTTGCCTATTAAGTGACACATCTTTTCACAATAATATGAAGAAAACCTGCTTTGGGCTCTTTGTATCTCCATTGGTGATCTTCCATTATATTTATATAGTATTTGCACTAATGGGGCAGAATATACTCTAAACTGAATAATAGCTTTAAAACACTTGCTGTACACTAGCAATTTCATTTCTGAAACATCCTCATGTATCTCTAAGCTAAATGTTAGGGAAAGAGAAAGTAATTAAATGCTCTTGGTTTGATTGAATGATGGATTGATTCAATGCCATCAAGTCAGTGCTGACCACGTAGATTTTCTCCAGGATACTCAGTTTATTGTATTCTATGCATATTTTATTAAGACTGAAATTTGTAATGTAGCTCTTATAGAAGACTACTGCAAAGTTGTACAGGTAGTCCTCATTTAATGACCACTCATTCAGCGACCAAACTTATGACAGCGCTGAATGAGGGGAATTATACTGTTCCTTGTAGTTGCAGCTGTTGCAGCATCCCTGCAGTCAAGTAATTGAGATCCAGGTGCTTGGCAACTGGCTTGCAATTAAGATGGTCACGGTGTCCCGTGGTCATGTGATCGCCATTCGCAACCTTCACTGCTGGCTTCCGACAAGCAAAGTCAGTGGCAAACTGACAGGAGGTTGCAAATGGCAATCACGTGATGTCACGCCTAAAAACTGCACAGGATTTACTTAATGATGGCAACCAGAACTGCTGCAACTGCTTTTGTGAGTTGGTGCAGTCATGTGACATCAAGCTTTACAACCACGTTGCTTAGTGACAGAGTTGCCGGTCCTAATTACCGTTGTTAAGCAAGGACTACCTGTAATGAAAAAGGTTGATGTATAATCTGGAAGTCTTATTTTAACATGAATTTACTAGGCAACCCTGAAAATGCTATTCTTTTCTGCCTGCCTCTCACCCAGCAGTAGAAGAGATAATAATTTTGACTCACCTTCAAGGGTTGTTATAAAGCTTGCAAGTAAATAATGTTTATAAAGCACTTTAAATACTTGAAGATGCTATAAAAACATTGTGCATGATACTGATAAAATCTGCCATGGAATTTTCCTTATTTGAAGAGGAAATTACAAGGTGTCTTCATTGCTTTTTTGCTGACATGAGAAAAATTGTCTCATGAGAATCCTAGTGGTGTCTAGGCCTAAAATAGTTCTGATCAATCATTTTGGGCAAATCCAGAAGTTCAATTTGCCCATAAAAAGTGCACACGCATGAAGTGTCAACATTCCCAACAGAAACAAACACCAGAGATGACACAGTTGTACAATGATAACAACGTGCAAACCCTTATGTGGCCGAAACCTTTATTCCCAACCCAGAATTCACTAGCTCCATATCCATACCTTAATTAAAGCCATTCTTACCTATACTGCATTTATTTACTCAGCAACAGCATGAACTGTCCCAAATGCATGGTAGTAAGCTGAGCACAAGAGGTTTCTTTTTTCTCAGTTTAAGAACAATTAATGATCAGGTTATGCAGCTTAAAAAATTGAGAACAGTGATTCACATTTTGCAACATATATTACCCATGCAAGCAGTTAGATCAAGGGTTGAACAGAAGCATTTTCTTGCTCTCATACCCTGCTCTATGCATTTACTTAGTGGTGTCCACCAATAATGATCAATATCCTTCTCCTCTCAAATTAAAATTCCAGAGACTCTGGAGAAGCTACATTCTGGAAAGGTTTCAGCGTGTGTCTCTGTGTGTGTGCATGCGTGCGTGCATGGTAACAGTCACCACCAACTTCTTTCCCCAAAGGAAAATTAAAGCTGCTGCTATTGCCTGGGGCAGGTGGGGCATAGGCTTCCCTTTCCCAGCACCTCTCAGCTGCCTCTCACAGAACATCTTGCCTGGGAAGAAATGAAGAAATTAAAGACTGAACTGTAATGCTGCAAACCTGTGCTCTTTGCTTTCTTCTTTCCTTGAACTGGGTCCCATACCTATAGGAGGAGAAGAGTGGTCTTGGATTCAATTCAGTGCCCTTTTTATCTACCTCTACACTACTGCAACTAATTTGTCCAGCCACGTTTGCCTGTATTTTGAAAACAAACATCATTTAAGTGGAATATTTTTACAGAAACTTGTCTTAGGCACGAATAATTCTTTTAAAACATTTAAACCAATAGTACGGAGGATGATACAACCATCAGGATCTCCAGAGCTTTGTTTGCAAAACAAAAGGAGCTGCTTGTGCACATTTTTCTTCTGAATTCTTACTTTTTAAAGCCTTGTTTTAGGAAAAGGGAGAACAGGAAGGAAACTTGATCGATACACAACAGTTTGGGTGAGGAAACCAGAGGGAATTTTAAAACATATTCTTACTGGAAAATAAATGCTGAAGAGAAAAACAAGCAAAAAAGAACTCAAAAAGATATACTAAAAAGCAAAAAAGTGAAAAT